AACAAACGAGGAGCTGGTCTTTTCCATTCCCTACTCTGTTCTCTCCCTCTAACGCCGCTCACGCTGTGCGGCCATGGGGAGAGATGAACTGCTAAGTATTAACAGAGGTGCTCTGCACACCAGTTATCTCCGTGATTACAGAAGAGATAGATGCTGATCCAAAACCACACGGTATAACAGTAGATCTAAGTAGAGACACACCTTGAGTATCTCAGTGCCATGAAGCCACATCACCTACCTACCCGTTACCTAAGCCGCAATTCTATGATCCCAAGAAGCAATGGAAGAGGGAGAAAATCCTGGGTATGAGTAACTTAATTAAATGTTCTACCGTTAGCCAAAAATAGGAGGAGGGGAATGAGGTTGGTTGATATAAAAATAAATCCAACTGTTAAGAAAATAAAGAAAGACATATTTGCTCTACTGAATTGTGGCTTCTGAAAATCAGACACACTATGTCAACTGTGCTGAGAGGGATTCATATTGTTTCCAATTTATTGTGGCCACAAGTAATACTGATATAAGTATCATTGTACTAAGATTCTTATATATTAGTTATTTTATTTATACATGAGTATGCTAGATACTCATGAATGGAACCACTGAGTTGAAGGATACATATATTAAATATTGAAGAGATGTTGCAAGATGGCTTCTAAGAAGGTAAAAATAAATCAGACACCTACCAACCAGGTATGCAAGTGTCTATCTGTTCCTAGCATCTCTGCAAGAAATTGATGATTTTTAACTTTAAAAATATCTTCACTGAGATATAATTCATATATCATAAAATTTACGCTTTAAGTGTACAACTCAATGGTTTTAGTATATTTAGTATATTGCACAGAGCTATGCAATGATCAACATTATCTAGGTTTAGAACATTTCTATCACTCCAAAAAACAGAAACCCTGTATCCATTTAGAAGTCAGTTCCATTCCTCCATTCATCTAAGTCCTAGGCAACCACTAATCTACTTTTTGTGTCTATAGTTTTGTCTATTTTGGACATTTCATATAACAGGAACCATACAATATGTGGTCTTTTGACTGGCTTCTTTTATTTAATATAACTGTTTTCAAGGTTCATACATGTTGTAGCAGGTATCAGTACTTCATTCCTTTTTATCACCAAATAATATCCCACTGTATGGATATACTATATTTTATTTTACCGTTCATCAGCTGATGACATTTGGGTTGTTTCCAACGATTTGCTATTGAATAATATTGCTATGATCGTGCATGTACGGGTTTTTGTGTGGATGCATGTTTTTATATACCTAAGTTGGAATCACTAGGTCATGTGGAAACTTTATGTTCAACCTTTTGAGAAATTGCCAAACTGTTCACAAAGTGTAATTTTAATTTTTGCCATACCAATGGGCATAAAATAATTTCACTGAATCTGTAATATTCACTTCCTTACTGATACTGAGGCTCTTTTCTTTATTCATCGGCCATTTAGTTTGTTTTCTCTGAACTGCTTTTCATCTCTTTCATTTTTTCCTACTAAGTTGTTTTGTATGCCTTTTAACTTCCAAGAGTTCTCTATATATTTTAAATAGTAACCAATTTACTGTTGTCTTCTTTGTAAACATTTTGTTTTGATTCTAATATTAGTCTTTTAATGTTGTTGTATCTTATGTCATATAAAATATTCCATTTTTATAGAGCTAAACCTATTTTCTTGGCTTTTGTGTTCACTAAGGTCTTCCCCACTTCCAGATTATAAACTCATTTGCCTAACTTTTCTTCTACATTTTTATTTATTTATTTTACTTTAAGTTTTTAATCTATTTTTTAGTATACACATACACCAAGGGTCACTATATATGTAAAATGTATTTACTGTGAATTATAATAAAGAATACTTGAAATCCACTTTCCTACTGTGTTCCATTATAGTGTCTGTGTTCTGATATCTGGTCGGACAGGCGCATCTCTCTTTTATACACTTTCTTTGGCTATTATTGGATATTTGTTCTTCCACGTGAACTATGTGGTCATTTTCTCACTAACATTAAAACAAACAAACAAAAACACTTGCTTCCATTCTAATTAAATGGCCAATATGAGAAAAAATTATACTTTTATGATATTAGGTTCCCTACACCATCAAATAATTTGGTATATCTTTCTGTTTATAAAACATAGGATATTTCCATGATTATTATGTAAGTTCTGTGGTTTACTTGTCAAATTTACCCCTAAGTATTTTATAGTTCTTTTGGTTGTTGTGTAAGAAAATGTTTCCCATTTCCATTCTGTGCGCTTACTGCAAATATAGTGAAGCTATCACTTTTACTTATCTTAAATCTGGCTATCTCACCAGATTCTTTTATTAATTCTATTGTTTATAACTTGAGTCTCATGGGTTTTCTAGTCTCATGGGATGTACAACAACATTTGCTAGGACCCCTAAAAATGGTAAATAATTTGGCAGTATAAAATAGCAATACAAAGAATCTTGTCTAACTCCTAATAAAATGCAATCTAACACACACAAGATATTAATTACTCAATTGACTAAGACCCATTCCTCTCCTAGTACTCAAGTTGCTCCTCTTGTTACAGCCCCTGTCCCTGTTCCTCCTTTCCTGCAGCTTCTAAACTGCTACCAGAGAAAGGCCCTGGCTTCTGGCTTCTAACTTCTGGGTAGTAGGGAAAAGAGGTGCTCCTGACTCTCAGTGTACCATTAAAAATACATATCAATTCATTCAGATATGTGCACACACAGTACAAGGCAAGATGCTGAAAGGAGTATCAAGAAATCAAGAATGTCTAGAAAGACAATCAAATAGGAGATATAAGACGTGAATATATAACATTATTTCAAATAGAAATGACACATGCTCCAAAACAGGCACAAATAAAGCATATGTCAAGATTAGAGGAAAAACAGTTATTTACAGTATAAAAATAGTTACAGGTGGAGTTTAGATATATATACTATAATACTATAATTTAGATATATTAAAGATTAAAGCCTGGCTGGGTGTGGTTGAGCATTAACCTAGGATCCAGGAGATCTCGGTTTGACTCCCAGTCAGGGCACATGCCCGGGTTGTGGGCTCGATCCCCAGTAGGGGGCGTGCAGAAGGCAGCCCATCAATGACTCTCTCATCACTGATGTTTCTCTCTCTCTCCCTCTCCCTTCCTCTCTCTGAAATCAATAAAAATATATATTTTTTTAATAAAATTAAAAAGCTTTTGTGGGATTGGCTAACCCTAATTATCACGTGTTTAGGGGGAAAAATTGCTTTCAAATAATCCACCTATAAATGAATTTCTAGCAACATAATTCAAGTTTCTTAAAGACTACTTGGACAGACATGGTAACAGTCCCAAAACTGCAGTACTGTCAGTAGAGGGAAGTAACAAGAGAAACAGATAAGAACCTGGTTTAACAATGACCTTTCCTGATTACCCCTTGAGAACAGAATTAATTTTATTCAATAAAAATAAAAGAAAATGAATCCCTATCCTGCAAATTTCTTAAAAATCAAAATCTTATGAATTCAGGTACTACAGAATTATAATTATAATGTTCATAATTCAGTGCTTAAATTAAAACAGCTTTTATACTACCAAAAATATAATAAAAGTTTTCACCAAGGTCAAATATTTTCACCTTTGAATTCGCGGAGTTCATAACGGCAAAATGCAGCTGTTACGTAAAGCACAGTTTACTGACTCACTCCTGCTATAAGAAGGCGACTGACATGTCATCTGGTCGTCATCGTAAGGTTAATTCTTATTTCCTGTTTCAGATGCTGTTCTTCTGGGCAGCATCTATTTACCTATTCTGAACTCACTCTTACTGTTAAGAACATATTGACTCGCTCCTGCTCTGCTGTTTAATGCATTTATGCTGAGAGTCAGGCATGAAGACAGAATTTTAAATGTGACATTTGCAGGCTGTTAGGTCACTTAGGCTCTGACAACACTGGGGAATTCCTGACATATAAACAGGACCTGATTACCAAGCACAGATAGGCTTCCCAAAGGGGCACATTTCTGATTACTATTTGTAATATCTCATAGAACTTTGATATTAAATTTTAATGTCAATGAAAAGATCTATATAGGCAACATTTTAAAGTACAAGTCTGTTTCTTTTAATAAGTTCAAACTGGCATATCTTCTAATCAACCTATCTCAGCTAAATAAAAATTATTGTGATTAACAAAGATATATGGAAAGACTCATAATAACAACATTCATTAAAATTCTGAGAAATTCTGATCTCCAAGGACTTTTAATATTTCCTATAATCTATAGATTCTGAAAATTTTGATATGTCTAAAGGCCATAACTCTTGTCAACAGACCATTTAAAAGTCTCAGATTCTAGCCCAGCAGGGCAGACTTTATATGCTGTCAAAATCACAGTACGAAATAGAAGTTTTAATACTTCTGTATTAAATACCACACTGCCTTTTCTAAGATTACAGTTATGTAGAAGGGATGATAAAGTCACTATAACTGGAAATGAAAAAACTGCCCACATGACATTTAAAATTACATTTCACAAGAGTTGATAATGGGGTGGGGTGGAAGAGTAGGGAAATACTGTTTTCTCATTTTACCTAGTCATAAAAATTACACCAAATTATAGTTTTCAACAAATATAATTTGGTGTAATTTACACCAAAAAATTACACCAAATTATACTTTTTCTTTTTCCTTGTCAGTAACAACTACTATATACAGTGGTTCAAATGAAAGTTTTCTAAAATTTAGTCTTATTGTTAATGCACAAAAGATAATTCTGATTTTGCCCTGTATTTCCTATAAGAATTCTGTTACACAGCAAGGAGCCTTTTAATACTGTGCTCTGAATGAGACTCCCAACTGTAATAGGTGGAGTCTAAACGGGGACAGGCGGCCGGGAAGGCCTCTCAGCTATCGCCATCGATTCTGAGAAACCGAACAAAGGCAATTACTTTGCAGAGATCAAAAATCGTGTTTCTTTAGAAAGAATAAACTGGAAGCAAACCTGGTGTATTATCTGGGCTACAGGAAGTTGCTCGGCATATCTCAGGGGCTCCACTAGTTCCTCATCCACCCAGTCCTCCTTATCCCTGGAAAAAAGGAATTAAAAAACACAAAGCGAAGGTAAGTACTATGTCTAAAAACAGCAAATATTTAAATATGCCAAATATATACGGCTGTTTTTGAAATAATCAGTATTTATCAATAACCTATGAAAAACCACCTAATGGTAATTTTTAAATGATATAAGTGCATTCAGACTGCACTTAATTACTAAGTAATAAAATTAGCTAACATCACCTAATATTCTCAGGTCCTGCCTCTTACTCTAAGGCTTAAAAACGTCTAAGAGCTCCCTGTGGACAGGGTGTGCTTTTGATCAGAGGAAAGCTCTTCACAGCCGGTGCTCCAGCCATGCTCCAGCCCCATCGCCACAGTGCCTCCCTGCCCCAGCCCGCGGCTCCACCCGTACCCAGTCCTGCCGGCCACCCGCCAGCGGCCTGGCAGCTCCTCCACTCTGCTCTTCTCCACCGTTGCCTGTTCGGACCAAACACCAATTCCTTCTTTCAAATATAATAATTTGTTTAGAAAAAGCTAGGTACATTTTGTATCTCCTTAAAGACAAAAACCATGTCTTATTCTTCTTTGTGGTATATCCAATGTTTACCACATAATATTCAATAAATGTTTGCTGAATGAAAATATGAAAAAAATAAAGATGATAATAACCCTATGAGAGGTTATTTTATATGGAAATATTTTAATATCTATATTTACAATAATATGCACAGTTGACATAATACATATCTAATACAGTATAAAATAGCAAAGTGTAGAATAGTAATAAAAATCTCCTCAAATGAAAAGAATTAGAAAAGATATTTTTTAAATTATTGATCCTTTTCAAAACTGCAAATAAACATATTTCGAAACAATAAGACCTCACATATTTAAAGTTCCTTTTACCTTTTTTCTCTATAAATTACATATCAACTTAAAAATTAAATTTTAAAAATTGAAACCTTGAATTATCTTGAAAAACAATCAAAGACGACTGGTCTAAGTCTCTAGGGCTGTAGTTAAATAATCTAATAATGAAAAATCTGGAATCTCTCCCAAGAACCACTTTGCTGTACATCTGACACTAACACAGAATAATACTGAATGTAAATTGTGATTAAAAAGTAAACTTAAAAAAACAAATGACAAAATTTCGCATATGATTTCAGAGCTTAAAGAGCCTCTTAGCTATGTAAAAGTCTGTGTGTTCCTGGCAGAATTAGCAAACAATTAATTTGGGAAACTCTGAAGAGTCTCACTGATGATGAAAAAAATTTGTCTCAAAACAATGTTTTATAGAAACAGTAAGTAGAATGGTGGCTGCCAGGGGCAAAGAAGGGGAGGGTGGGGAGTTACTGTCCAAGGTCAGTTTCACCACCGAAAGGGGAAGAAGTTCTGGAGGTGGATGGTGCTGACAGCTACAGGAGAATGTTAATGCGCATACGCCACTTAACGGCAAACCTAGAAGTGGTTAGAATGGTAAATTTCGTTATGTATATGTTATGTGCCCTCCTCAAATTTGTACTTTGAAGCCCTAATCTTGAACCCCTCCGATGTGACTACATTTGAAGAAAGGGTCTTTAAAGAGGTAATTAAGGTGAGAACAAGGTCATCAGGGTTGGGCCCTATCCAGTATGACAGTGTCCTTACAGGAAGAGACTAGACCACAGAGGCAGGGTAAAGGCCATCTGAAGACCCTGGGGGACCTGGCCATCTATAAATCAAGGAGAGAGGCCTCAGAAGAAACCTATACTGCCAACACCTTGACCTTGGACTTCTAGCCTCCAGAATTATGAGGAAATAAATTTCTGTTGTTTAAACTGCCCAGTCTGTAGTACTTTGTTACAAGGGCCCTCACAAACTAACACAGTATATTTTACCACAATTAAATAAAACATTCACTGACAAAAGGAAATATTATTTTAAAACATTTCACACTGTACATTTTAAAAGTCTATCTACAATTTTAGGTAAATAAAACACATACCAAGAAACAAAAGGAAAATAGATATATTGAGCATCATCAAAATTTGACACATTGTGCTTCAAAAGACATTAAGTAAAAAAAAACCCATAGAATGGAAATTTTTGCAAATCATATATCTGAAAAAGGATTTGTACCAAGCATATATAAATAACTATTGCTTGTTTCTTTTTTACTGTATGTCTGTGGCAGAGAAGAGTACAATGACTAGTCAGCACCGTTTGGTGCCAGTGCCTTGATTCCAATTAAGGCACCAACAGCTTCAATAAATATGTGCTAAAAAAAAAAGATTAATCATTGAAGTAATTCTAGAAGTATACAGAAATATGAAAAAGACTCTCTTCGTTGTTTATTCCAAAAATCTAAAGTAACATGTATAGGATGAAATGCTTTATACCCACAAAGTATCTCTCAGTCAATATAAAAGATTTAAAAAATTGGAAATCTAACAATTTGAATGACATTTTATAAATGCCAAGTAACTATTATGAAACATTCCAAACATGTTTCTATATTTTCTTTAATTTTTTTTTTTGTGGTTGCAGATATGACAATTCACATCTAAACACTTCAGCATGCATCAACCAAAGATAGGTTTGAAAATGTTCTTTATAACTGCTGGACATTTTTTCAAAGTCACACAAAGCACAATTCACAAGTAATCTTGGGTATCAATACAGACTTAGGAGCTTCTTACATATTCAATGTTTCACAATNCTGGACATTTTTTCAAAGTCACACAAAGCACAATTCACAAGTAATCTTGGGTATCAATACAGACTTAGGAGCTTCTTACATATTCAATGTTTATATAAATTAAAATTATTACTCATTTTTAATTTCTTGAAAATGTTTATCATTTTCTTGCTTTGTATGTTGCTAGAAGAGTGATGTCAAGCTAACTTTCCATTTTTATTATTTTCATTTTTATTTTATATTTTTAAATTATTTATTATTTTTTTAGCTTGGAGACTCAAGTGGTCTCTTTTTCCTTTTAACTTAAGGCCTAATACTAAGATACAGCTAATACTAATACTAAGACACAGCTAAAAGTTAAATTGTTCTAGATCAATTCTCCCAGACACATAGGAGTCCTTTCAGTATGGAAATTCAGATCTCCTTTTATTTCTGAAAAGTTTTTTCATCATAATTTGAAATATTGTTTCTGTTCATTTTTCATTTGTTCTTCTGGTTCAAGTTCTTGGATTGGATTTTCTCCATCACTTTCTCTCTGATCCTTTTAGCTCTCATTTCAGTTTCAGTTTCTTGACTCTATTTCATTTCTATTCTTTATATCTTTTACTGAACTTCTGGTAATATCTATCATTCCTTGGGTACCTTGTAATTTAGTTTTCACTTCAGAAATGATTCTTGTATTCTTTCATCAATTTCTTTCTAGAGTTCAGTCAGCTCCTGTTTCATACATCTTCCTGTTTGTCCATTTCAACTGTGAGTATTGGAGTGTCTGCTTTATGGTGTCATTTCATAATGCAACTGCTTGTTTAATATAGGTTATTTGTGTTCCAGTGCCGAGTTTCTCGTTTCCTATTTTGTGGGTTTTCTTTTCTTTCCTTTCTTTTTATTTGTCCTTTCATTCCCTCTCCCCGCCCTCCCAGTAACTCTGTACAGATGTTTCTTTCTTTTTCTGTTGAAGATTTTTTTCCAGGACCAGCAATAGCAAGTTATCTTGTGATGGGGGAAGAAAGGAGAGAAGTTGGCTTATTAGGTTTCTCAATTCAAGGGTACCCTCCTCTGTGACAACACTGGAGTGTGGTTTCATTAATAAATGGTACCTTTCGTGATGGTGGTGGGAACAGAATATGTCCTTTTTTTTTTCATTTATCATATTTCCTTTGAACTCAACTTCAGCTGCTTCTTTCTTTCCCTTCATCACTGAGCCTCCAAGGAACCCCCACTGCCTCTGAAAGGTACCTTCCATTCTCTCAGAATTAGTGCTTTCCCAAGACTGTCACCCAAGGTCACGCACACTTTCTGAGTCCCACCTCTCAAGCCCTCAGAACCCAGGGCTTGTAAATCAGAAACTGAGAAAACTACAAATGTTAATTTCAGTTTATATATGGCCACCATCCTGAGGGGACCTGAATTTTCTCTCACAAAATGGTAGTTTTCTTTCTTAAAGCCATCTATTATTGTTCTCATTTAACATTTTGAGTCCCTCCTAAAAGGAAAGACTTTTTGTATTATCTCTTTTCAAGATCCTTCAGTAAGAAGATATACTTAAATAATTTAATAAGGGAATAATTTCCACATGGAAAAAGCTGTGTATTGCTATTTTTTACTTTACTATTTTTAACTGTGTTTTTGTAGAAAACAATAATAAATGGAATTTGTTTATACGATGAAAGGATTGTGGATCTAATACAGTAATGCTACCATCTCAAGTCACAATGCAACAGAAATATTGTCAAAATCCTCTGTATAAGTAAGTAAAATAATATTGCTGGCAAAAATTCTGAAACCTAAGAAGTTAGTCTTTACAAACTCTCATCTCTTTTGTGTTCTTTTACTTTCAGAGATGCCCGGTGTCCTCAAAACTCTTCCTCTTCTGTGCTATCGAAGCACTCCTGAATTACACTGTGAAATTACTTACTGTGTCCACATCTAAGGCCAACTCTGATTCAGAAAGAGGTGAACTTTTTATTCTATATTGAGACACTGAGATTAGATTATCATGTATAAAATGACATCACTTACTGTGTGCAGAAGGCCAAAACATCTTTTCCAACACTAGAAGTATATATACACAACTAAAAGAAGAGGAAAGCAGGGGCACTGTGCTGTGCCAAATACAAACTAAAAATTAAGAAGATCAATAAATAATTCAAGACACGTCATTTAGGGTAATCCAAAGTTATTAAGAGGAAATTATTTAAACATATCAAAAACAAACACTGGAAGCTAGCCAGTGAGTGTAACCTCTGAAACATCATAGCTCAAAAGAATTATCTGAAACTAAAACTACATAGAGAAACCAAATTAATTTAATTTTATCTTCTTGGTAAAAAAAAGGGTAGAAAAATCCCT